CGACGTGCTGCCCGTATCAGGGTCAGCCAAAATTGCGGACTGCGGGCTCGCCATCTTCTGGGCGCGGTAGATCCTGGGGCGGAACCGCGGCAGCAGCCTCGTCGAGGTACCATCGACCGCCCCAATCGCGCGGGCCACCAGAGCGGGCGCAGTGCGGAGGAAGACCGCGTCGCCGGTCTGGAACTTCCGAGCGCCTGGCTCCAGCAGCGCGCGCGCGTGCTGCTCCTCGTCGTGGGCCGCCTTGATATCCCTGGCTAACGTGGCATGCGTCGACTCCAAGTGCTCGGTGAGGTCACGCACGTAGTGGCCGGGCTCAACCGCCTTGCCAGACTCGAGCCTCCTGAAGACCTTCTCGATCGGGCCCCGCGGGAAAATGCCAGTCACGATCTCGAAAGCAGACCTGCCAGAGCGGCGAGGCATCGGAGTAGCGCGAAGGCACCACTGAGCCAAGGGTACCCAGCGCGCCCAGCGCTCAGGGTGAGAGGTTGCAATAGTCGCCAGGATCCTGTTGATCTTCTGGTGGCGCGCCTCCACGAAGCCCTGCGACTCGGGGTGGCGGGCGCTGCCCAGCGAGTGCTCGGCCCCGAGCAAGTCGCTGATCTGGGCCACTATCGCACTTGCGAGCGCGCTGCACCTGTCGCTCCGCTGCGCCGGCGGGAAGCCGGCCAGGTCGAACATGACGCTCTCCACCAGGAACGGCGCCCACGTTGGAGCCGAGTTGTCAGGAGCTGCCTCAAGCCAAGCGTGGCGAGAGAAGGCGCACTCCGCATGTAAGATGTAGCTGCAGCCCTCCGACTCTGGCGAAATCGGCCCAAGGTCGTCAATCCCAGTCAGCCTGAAGGGCCTGTCGAAGAGCTCCATCCTTGCATCAGCAATCAAGCCGCGCGCCGGCTTCGCCATCCCGCAAACGCTGCGCGACGAAATCCACTCATCGTGCTCCATCCCTGGCCACACGAACTGCTTCGCGAGCTTGGCCAAGGTGTCCTCGGCGGAGCTGTGCATGCCCATGGTCTCGCTGTCGTGGTAGTAGAGAAGCAGCTGCTTCCTCAGCGGCAGCCTGTGCAGCCGCGGATTGTAGCGAAAAGCTGGAAGACCACCGCGAGGCGCGACAACCCTCGGAACGAAGCTCAACGACGTCGAGTCCCACTCGTCCTTGTGGAGAAGCCTGTCCTTGTAGCTGTAGCCGCCCATCATGCGAAGTGCCGCTGACGCTCGCCGCGCCGCTTGGCAAACGCCGACACCTCGTAGCGGCGAAGACGTACAAGCAGCGTGGATGTCCACGAAGTCCTCATCCTTCTGCTGGAGCGAGATGACCTGGGCCCGCTGCAGTGAAGAGGGGCTGGAGGGAATCAACTCGCTCAGCTCGTCGAAGGCCTTCGGCGCGCGTGGCGCTGGAAGGTCATCGGAAGCAGCGGCCCCCTCCTCAGCAGCATGCCACACCTCGACGACAACGTCGCGCCGTTTGTCCAAGCCTCGCTGCAAGTAGGACGCGGTTGTGTCCTCGTCGATGCCAATCTCCTCGAGGATCTCGCACGTCCTGGCATCCATGGGCTTGCGCTTGAT